GGACAGTTAAACAGTTTATCGACGTTGAATCGGCGATGCGCCTTCATCGACGAGGTAGATTCGGGACTTGAAAATTGCAAAGAGCATCTATATTGGTCCGCACAAAAGACGCCGCCGAGAGAATCGACTGTGACGGTGTTTCCAGTCGCAAAAGGGAGAATCCACCGAGCGCTTTCGCATTATTACACTAGAAACAGACGTTCTCACCATATGCTCGGCAAGAATCAATCCCCGATGACAAAGACGTATGCGGTGTCAAATGCACGCGAGTGCGGAACATTTCTAATGTGCCGCTGCAGCGTCTGACATTCTTCTTCCTCGACCCTTCGTGTCCGCTCTTTCGAGGGAGAGCCGAATTATTCTGCGGGAAGCCGGAGGTGGATGTCTTTGTTGATATCACATCGGTGCCTCTAATTAAAGAAATCGGCCGACCAAACGACCGAGCAGGGGCGTATGTCCACAGCCTTTGGATAGTTATTTGCGGTCGAGTTTACACAATCCAATTCGCGCAAGCACGGTAAGTCTTGGACCACCTGCCCATCATGTCTTTCGCGACAAGAACGCGCATCGAGCGATTCTTCGTTACCGGCACGCACGCTCTCTCTCTCTCTCTCTCTTTCGTCGGCCGAATTACCGGCTCGTCGCACAGTGCGTAGATCGTCACGCGAGCCGAGACGAACTCTTCGATTCCACAGCTCGAACGAAACCTCTAATCCGTGAGTCGAGCTGAAATTTCATGGTCGGGTCCTGGCCGGCAGCCATTAACGACGTTTTCCCGTCCCGGTCCCTTCCGCCCTTCTTCCTCTCTCTCTCTCTCTCTCTCTCTCTTGGCGAGTGTGCGGAGCACATGTGTGGTAACGCAGCCGCGTCTTTAGCCGCGCGGTGAGGATAGACGAGGGACCCTTAATCATCGTCCCATCCCTCCGTCAAGATGAATCGTGCATTTGTATACCCGCACCCCTTTCGCTCTTCCCGGTGCCTCGCCGTCGCGTTTCTCCGCTCGCTCTAGCTATTTATCTCTGTCGTTGTTCCTCTTCCTTCTCCCCCTCTCTCTCTCTCTCTTTCGCTCCTTCCCTCCTTGCACCCGGCTCTCACCCCCATAGCCGTCGTTCTTTGTCTATACTCGAACGAACCGAAGAACAGTTAGGTCACCCTACTGTCTTGATATCGTAAGGGGTTGCGCAGCACATAATATGCCTACGACACACACTCTCTCTCTCTCTCTCTTTTTTTCTTCTCTCTTGGCACAATCACGCCGGACGCACCCTTCCGCGCTTAGTCGACCGACGATATCCAGCGCTCGAATCTCCTAGTCACGAAACTTAGAATCTCGTCCCCGAGAGCTGGCTTTTCCGTCGAGTAATAATAAAGCGAGGGTTAAACGAACCGGGCTGGATTTTATCGCGAGTCATCTCTCACTCGGAACGTGTCCGAAAATGATTAGTTACCGTAATTTTCGACGAGCTCCGTAATTCGCCCGATTGATCCGTCGCACCGATGGAACTTCGGTTTCGCCGCGCCCGCGTTCGGTCGCTCCTCATTCCTCGTTTCCGCTTTCGGACCCCGTGAACGCAGATGTTCGACGACGACATCCACGTTTACGGACCGTAAAAAGCGAGAGATCGAAATGGTGCACGTGATGCCTCTCGTATTACCGATGGCGCGGTCAAGTTCCGGGAACGGTTGATACAATTCTCGTGCGCGACGATCGATGAATCCGTCGTCTGTTTATACCTTTGTACGCATGAATAGACGACAGATTCGCTGTAAATGCAGCCAATTCGTCGTAGAGTGTTTCGTGTTAACAACAGTCCATTTCAACATTTCGAATCATCTCGTCTCTTTCTATTGTGTGGACGAGCATTCTAGGAATTTGAATTCGGCGGTTACATTGTTTCTAGCCCATCTGTTTATATTATTTACTTTCATGTGCGATCGTCACCCGACAGTTGACGAGTCCGCTCGAAAGGACAAAGACCGTCTCCAAGTGGAGCTACGTAAATAAAGAGAAGTCTGGAGATCGAGAAACGAGAATAGACAACGAAAACTTCGAGTATTAAACAACAATTTGTATTTGAAAATAAATCATTTTAAGAAATGCGTTTCTAAATTTCACCTCTGACATCCTTTTTGAGGATTTACAAATTATTTCGCGCCGTTTCCTCGGCGTTTACGTCTCCACGGCGATTGCATTGCGAAATTCAACAGGATTAGATGGTCAAATGTCAAATTAAAATCCTGTTGAAGCAAACGACGAAGATCGTGAAAGGAGATCTCGTTACTCGTTTGTTTCGTAAGCGGATACTACATTCCAAGCCTTAATTTGCTTAATGCAATTAATACGTCGGAGTTAAAAGCACCATTTTTTCTCGACCGACACGCGGTATCCATGCCACTAAAGTGCTCGGTATATCGCGAAGCATTGCGCTGCGATCAGTATCACGCCGCGACCGGACATACCGACTCGTAACTTTTATAGCCGTTTCGAGGGAAATTGGAGTAAATTACGAGCGTGTTTGCCGAGTGTCTTGTGTATGTGTGTGTGTGTGTATCACTTGCTACCGTTAAAATTCTTAGACGGCGCTCTCGAGACAGCGATATCTCCGCTAACGGACGATGAATCACGATTACCGTGATTATGACGATGATTCGCAAACGGAATCTTTAATTGAGCATCAGCGTGAGCATCGGAGAAGAATCGATTGCGTTCGCAATTGCACGATCTTCTCAGGCAGAATGTGGAAAATGCCCAAATATGATGCCCCGACGAGCAGAATATTCTTTTACGCGGATAAAAATAGAAGATTAATCAGCGATCTGGACCGAGAGACCGAATGTTGCGAGTTGATTTTTCATCGCGGTCTCACGCAGTCATTACCTCGATATAGGCTATCGCGGGTCTATTACAAAACCCAGTCTCGACAGTGGCTTTACAGTCGGAAGGACCGATGACTGGCAAGCGACGAGGGGCCCTGAACCCCGTGTATAAGGTATGTACTGGTCCAGAGAGCGCCCTTGCCTTCTCTCCGTCAGTTTTTTCATCGTCTGCTCTCGGGCTGCCGCTTTTAAAGCGATCGTCACGGGCACCGCGCTTTTACGCGGTTCTTTCTCGGCAGGTGTGCGCGCGCGCCTTCTCCTCTCGTGTCTCTTCCTTCTCTTGCTATGCGCGTTGCGTATTCTCGCAAATAGCGATATATTCCGCACGATTCCGCAAAATTAGAAAAATATGTATATCGCACGAAATGAGAGGGAGAGAGAGGAGGGAGAACGCGCGTTGCTCACGCACGATTTATGATTTCGAGGGGGACGCCAGATGATGACGATAGTCCGGGGGGACGGAGGAGCTCCCAAGGTTACCGTGATTTTCTTTTTTAACGAAACGAGCACAAGATACTGGGAAATGTTCCGAAAAAAAAAAAAAGGTTTTGATTAATATTACCTGCAATAGCGAACAGAGTTGGAGACGGAGTTATCGCCCCGTCCTCTCTGCAGTAATTAGTTCGCGAGAAAGAAAGCCCGCATAGAAAGTGTAATTAAGCAGACGTGGTTTGCCCCGGTTTAATTGAAATCGCGTATCGTTCCGGTGTATTTCGCAAGAACGTCGAATCGGTCACGTACGGCGATGAAATTTTTCCGCGTCGGCGCGACTGTAATAGATCGCTATTGGGAGTGATCGGCGCTCGTAAAAATTACAGCTCGCTTACTTACTTCCGACGTAATCACAGCCTAATCATAGCTTCCTTTCGTCGTACTCGAAGCAACTCGATCGCTCATGTTGAGCGCTTCGTTGGAAAGACTTCTGTTCGAGAGAATAAAATAGTTACCTCTTGTTCTCTTTTCGTCTCTCCCGTTCTCTCTCTTTTTCCTTTCATTCCAGAAGCTGTCATTCCCGAGGAGTGATTCGTGGTCGATGTAGCATAGCGGAGACCTTGCATCTCGGACAATAAATCGCGCCGGCACTAACCGCACCGCTGCCGATTTCTATCAGGGTTTTTCAAACAATACCTTGATACGTTTTAAGCGGAAACCGGATAACTTTCTCCACCAATGCCGCTTGTCATGAACAACACAGGTTTTTTTTGTTCCCTCCGCACGAAAGCCGTTCTCTCACGACACGGAATAATGCACGTCTATTTTTTCATGTTTCCGAATGGCGACGGCACGTTGGAAGATTTTTCCATTACGACGATGAGAAAGGCTGTATGTGTCGATAGTAGTGTTTCATTTTCTCGCTAATGCGCTTGAGAATATTTCACGCAGCGGCACGAGGCAGAAAACGATGGTTATAAACATTGAAATGGAAAGTTTTGCCGATTTCACATGTAGCCTCGTAATTCTGCCATGACTATTACGACTCCAGATATTCATCTTATCCACATATTATTAACGTTTTTACGTTCGACCGTTCATGTAACGCTCTTTCGTCGCCACAAGCTCGCATTACTATGCGCGATCATGCTAAACGCACTCAATCTCATCTGAGATGCGTAACCTCGCGCGCAACCTTACAACTTGCGTCAACGTTTACTTCGACGACTTTATACTGCGTTTTACGACCTGTACGGCTCGTTTCGCAAAAGATCCGCGCAATCTCAGGAATTTCGTCTCGCAAATCCGCGCGATCGACCAAACAATTGCATGATGATAAAACGGAGGTTCGAGAGACAATGTGACAAATTTACAACGCGCATCTACAATTTATCCTTTATCAAACGTCGCCTTTTAAACTCGATTTTCAAAGCGGGACTGTCAGGAGTTACTTGGAATTACGTACGCAGACGTGATGAAAAAAAAAACGAAAAAAGAAGATCGTCAGGGAGCGCTAATCGCGACCGAGTGAGTCGACGGCGGGTACGCTAAAGTCTCAACGGAGGAGATCAAAACGTCAAGGTGATCGGCACTCGCGTTGCTTTCGGAGCGCGAAACCGATCGCGCCTTCGGCTCCGCCTGTCAAAACGCTCCCGCACGGTTACACGGGAAATATGCGTGTGCGTACTCACCTGACGAAGAGCTGTTCCTGATTGTTCACCCGCCAAGATACCACGGTGGCCCCTGCAAAATGGAAAATTGTGATGAGAATTTCGACGGAGGCGCGCGCGGTACGCGATCGTCGCAACGCGTCGGCCGCGGCTCGAGACTTCGGACGGAAAATGCCGAGGTAACGCGAGAAGCGGTACGAGAGCGATATCGGCCGATATCGCGGGTATACGCGGGTGGCGCGAAACCAGGCGCGCTGAAAACGGTTTTGACACGTGAAGCCACGCGCGTGAGATTAGCGCACACCGGCCGGAGGCGCGCGGAGATAACAGGACGTAAGCTCGGAGACGAGAGCGGATGATGCACTCTCGACACCGGAGACTCAACACGTAGGAAAAATCTCTCGCGAAATCTTCCGCTCCGCTCGGCGTGGCCGCGGGAGAGGAGCGGCAGAGCCGACGACGTCGCTTCGACTTTGACACGGCGCGTCGCCGAGGCGCGAACTCGCGCGCGAAGATGTGCCCCCCCGAGGATAGCCGGCCCGCGGGCTTTCGCTTCTCGAGCTTTCGTCGCCGCGTTTCCTCCATAGATCGCGAAGTGAGATTCTCTCTTTCCGCGAGACGGAGATTCGCCGGGAGCGAGCGAGCGAACGCGCGCACGCACACATACACACGCACGCACACACACTGACGCGCGTACCGCACACATACGCACACATGTACACACACATACACACACCGTGTAAATTGATGGTGCAGGTGGTGTTGTTGCCCCTGTCGAGCACGACAACGCTGGTAGCCGCTGCCATGTTTGAGTCGTGAATGCGGCCGCCGGCCGGCCGACCGACGCATCCAACCTTTGTTCAACGCCCTCGACCTCGTCCCCACCCGCGCGCTCGTCGCGTAAACCGTCACCCTACCACCGTCACGGAGCGGCGGTGGAGGACCGGCGTATCGTGGCGCGCGATACTCGGCCGCGGCCGGCGTGCTAAACCAGTCGGGCCGCGAGAGAGAAGCGCTCGAATCGATGCACGGTGCCTGCGTGGGGCAGCTGCAACCTATACCGACGGCCGAGCAAGCGGAATCTACGAGATTTTCTCTCTCTCTCTCTCTCTACCCGCCCTCTCTGTACTGTGTGCGTATTACTGTTAAACGGGAAAGGAGCGGAGACTTTCCGGAGAGAACTCGAGGTAACGTGGCCAGTTCATGAGACGCTCGTCGCACCGTCGAGCGTGGTCACGTGGTTTTTCATCGGACGCTAAGGTCAAGTTCTCTCGAAGTTGGATTCTACTCAAGGCCTTGGTAAAAACGGCTGACTTGTCATTTTCAGACAATCTCCCATGCCATAGATCTTTCGTCTGAGTTACTATGTTTTATTGTACTGCGGTTTGTCATCAGTCATAAACGGGAAGGCTTTTTAGTTTAAGAGCTCACCCGGAGAACATTAAGACGTCGTAAAGACGTCTTTGAGATATTTTTTAGACATGCGTGGTTGCGTGGGTAAGTACAGTCATTGTGCGTTACTTAAGACGGACTTTCCAGTAAACGTCAATTAATAGTAGCGTTACATCACAATGTTTATAATTTCCCACTCAAGAACGTAAGTGGAACATAACACGTATTGCGTACGTAACAGTCGCATTGTTGAGTGGGAAATTATTGTAATATTATTATTAAATAACATTTACTTTAATTGAGGTTAAGGCATAAGACGCGCGTATTGTCTTGAACTAATAAATCAACCATTTCATCAAGGCCTTTCTAGCGTCACATAATGTGAACTGCCAATTTGGATTTTCAAGTGTTATTGTGATGCTCATTATGTTATTCTTTCTGTACATTTTCTCTTAACCACGTGTAATATTTACTTTGGATTTAAAATAAAGTTTAATCGACGTTAGTAGGCATGAGTCTCGTTGTTTGCGTTTTTTTCACGTACCACGGCTCCTTGGCCGATAGCGCGAACGAAAAGGCGAATTAAACTTTACTTTTAACTTGTAATAAACAAATGAATAAGTTATAAGTCACCAATCGGGTAATTTCGTCATCTTGTGTTCGAAAACAGTCGACTAATCAAACGTATCAGTTGTATGTATATGTTAACCTTATTTATACGATTCTCTCTCTCTCCTTCTTTCTCTCTCTCTCTCTCTCTTTCTCTCTCTATGTTAACAACAGGACGCTGGCTACGAATGACTTATTTTGCCGAGTAGCGAAGAACATCGCGTTTACAATCACAGTCGCTCGATCGCGGACTTGTTCACCGATTCGACACTTTTAACACCGGACGCACGAGAGACACGCTTTCCTCGGGCAAAAAGATGCGAGGGAACACGGAGAAGTAACGGTCTGGGTTCGTACTTTCGTGAAACTAAGCAAAGTTTCCGTCAACCGGCGTTATCGTTATCGATGACGACATCGATATCTCGAAAATCGCGGCCTCGAGAATCGCGACCTCTGCCATATGCAAAAGTAATTGCGAAGCAATGGCAATACTGGCGGTGCAGATTCGAGAAGTCGCGCTCGGTATTCTTCGCTCGCGGAAGGCGAGTCTCGCGCGCGAACCGAGCATCGCCAGGAATACCGAAGGCGTGTTTCGCGTGTCTGTGATGACGAAGTATCGTTAAATGAGCGTCGAAAATCAACGGCTCGCGGGATAACCTGTCGGCAGTGCTGAGCAAAGTGTCGTATTCGTACTCTTTCGACTTATCGAAGGAGTGTCGCGCGCGAACTGTCGTCGGGAAGAAAGTCCCGTGCGTTTGTCTGGCGAAATATCGTCAGATAGTCAGTCGTTGATACTGGATATCTCGTGGAAACGGGTGTGGCTGGGAATGTCGAACGAAATATCGCGCGTTCGTAATGACAGTACGGAGCTGGAACCGTTTCGGTTCGATGCATTTCGGAGAAAAAGTCGGTAAGTGCAAACTGCAACAAATAGCACGCCCGTGACTTCGGCATTTTCAGTCGTATGTTTTATTATGCGAAGTCAAATCGTACTTTATATTTGGGGGATGCTTTACGTGTCTCACGTAAAAATTTTGTCTATTTTTTATAATGTGACGGCTAACGACCTCTCGCGTCCTCTATTGGTACTCTCATCAGTACAACTGGTGCAATTGATAACGTAGCGTCCTAAATATACGACAGATATTCTTGAACAAATTCTCGACCAAGTTTAAAAGAGCTAATAATTACTAAACTTTGATTCGTAATGTGAAAGCGTAGATGTAAACGCAGGCAGCGAACAGTGCGGCTTTACTTACGAGATGATATGCGCGACTTCAAGCGTTTCGCGCACTGTACTCTCTGATATAACGAATTATTCCTATCGATCCCGACTCGTTCTTTACCGAATGCAAACGTAATCGACAAATAGCGCCCTCTATTTATTAATCGAGCTTATATGCGTTGTTCTATGAGAAGTATTTGCGAATACTGCGGAATTTTCGCGCACGACAATAATCACACTGAAAACCGAGGATTTTCCACATATTTCTCGTCAACGTTTACACGCGTATCGTCAGACCGAAGTCGCCGGTCGAGACATTTGTGCGCATTCGGTGTGTACACATCAACGGAATGTTAAAGGGAGAACTTAAATTGATATTAGATCGGAACGTATCAGGATGCACCGGGGAAAGCTCAGCAAGCATGCGAAATCCCGCGGCGAGATCTCGCGAATATTTCGGTGGCAGTCCGACAACCGAAACGTCAAAGACGAATCGGAGTCGGGCGGCGCGCGCACCTGTCAAACGCGGCTCCGACAACGGCAACGGCGCATAGGCCGCTCGGCTCGGCGTAGATGTGGCAGCGCCGCTACGGCCGCGGCGGCGGCGCACCAGTGGACGGGACCGGTTGACAGACAGCTTCGCGTTCTTCCGTTACGGTGATGTGTCGTCGTTCACCGCTGTGCAATCGTGCCGTCGCGCCGTCGTGCCGTGTCAGCTCGCCGATTAATACGGAGTACGGTCGCGCGTCAGCGGCGACGACCGGCGTCCACGACGGGGACGACGACGGTGGCGCGTGTCGCGATTAATAAACGGGCAGTGTGTGGTGCTGTGGGGGCAGGGACGATGAGGGCCGGGGGGATAATTCGGGTGACGACTTGAGGGCAGAAATGTTGAAGTTCGGCAGCAAGAGTGACGTGACGGTGGTGCATCGCGCCACTATTCGACTGTTGGATGACGCCGAAATTATCCACTGCGACTTTCAGGTAAGAGAGAGAAAGAGGGGAGAGGGAGAACGCTCTCGCTCCGCTCCGCTCTGGCTCCGTTCTGCTCCGCGCGCCGTTCCGCTCGGCCCCGCTCCGCGCCGTCGTCCTCCTCGCGCGAGGGTAGACGCGCGCGAGACCGACTTTCTTCAGCCACCCCTGCGACTCCTTGTCACCCTGGTCGCCCGTTGCTCGCGAGCATGTCGGTGAAGAATCCGCCGTTGTTTCAATTGTACATACGTGTACGATGTATATACGTGTGTGCGTCCGGTGACAGGGAAACGCGGAGTTTCACGCGACCCCGTGACAGTGCGCGCGGTTCCGTCACGGGTCGCGGGACGAATTCGACGATACCATTCTGACTGATCGCCGGATGCTGCTCTGCACCGGCGATTTCTAATTTCTAATAAGGTCCCCGTCATGAAAGGACCTCAGGTAACGTCATGCGATAGATTTGCGATCTTACGATTGCCGAGTTACACGGCTTACAGCGTCAGGTGGCAGCGAGAGTGGGAGAGCCGAACCGACGCGAGGAGTCGACTTGTATTCTCACACGATGATCTCACGATGATTACCGCATCGTTCGAAGGTCCGAATTAATAAAGTATCGTGAAGATATAAATAACGAGAGTTCTCACGAGGCTTGGGAAAGGAATCGACGACGAGCGTGTGTCGGCATGAGAATACAATACATACAATATGAATTTCGTTGAAGCCCGATTTTTCCTATGCTAAGTAACAGAGAGGGAGAGAGCCAATGGGAGCCGTCGCTGAATTTTGCTTACGTGATAATTTGAAAAAAAGAATATTTTCCCCTTTTTTTTATTCCATAATCATTCCCCACGTGCCGTTCGCGCGACTGCGGTTGAGCGCCGCTGGTAGACACAAGGGTCGAGCGTGACTTCGTGTCGCGGATCCCTTTGACGTTTAGTCGCAGATACGCGGCGTCTCCAACGCACGGCTGCCTTGGATCGATTCCAGAAAACCGCCTGTCGCACGCGGCCTGCCCTGTCAAAAATTCACCCCGCGCCCTCGAGCCGTCTCGGCAAAGATTGACGTTTCTCTCCTCGCGTAGCCAGCTCTCGTAGGAAAATCTCCCGAGGAAAACAAGCCGTCTGATTCGCCAGTTCTCAAATCCCAAAGGTCTCCGAATTCGTATATTTCTAAGCGACATTTACCGGTTCTCCGTATTTCAAAGTCAACAACTCACACTCCCCGCGTATTTTCAAGCGGTAATTTCATTCCCCGGATATCGTTGAAGCGATCATTACAAACTCTCCCTCAGCTCTCGATCGCGCACTTCGCGCCTCGGCCGCTGAAATATGCACGAATCGATGACGCTAATATAGCGAAGCTCGAGAAATGTCAATTCCGAGGTGGTCGTGAGCTCGGAGACTTTTACCGGCAATGACCGAGGTCCGAGAAACTGGCCCTTGTCCTGCCGAGGTGTGCGGATTATTTAATTACTCGCGTCGGCTCATTCATTACGTGTCACGCAAATCGAGCAATAGCCATGCCGTATCGCGGTCAGCGATTACGCAAGTAGTTAGAGAGAGAGAGAGAGAGAGCGCTCCCCCGATAAATTGATGATATCGTTCTCAACCTTCGCGTTATTTTCCACCTCGTCACAGCCCGCTCACCCTTGCGGACCTCCGAATCCACGTGAATTGATTTTATGCGGGATCGCCCCGAGAGGCGCACACCGACCGCACATCGGCCGTGATTCTCACCCACGCGGATGTCGTCGACGGCCTTCTTCGAGTCTTCGCTGGCGACTCGCGGATTACCCGTCTCGGAACACCCGGGAACAGAGTCGGGCCATTGGGTCCGAGCTTGTCGGCGGCATAGACGATCGGTTGGCTTCTCTTCATTAAGCGCGCGACCGTCCGCCCCCGCCGGCGCGAAAATACCGGGGGTGTGCGTTTCAATCGTGCGCCACGTCGAGGATATTACGCCGAAATAATTGGCGGCCGGCCAAATCGGAGCGATATACGCGGGCATAGCGGACCCGAATTTTCGAGCGAGAACGCTGATCGGGGGGGAGGGTGGATTGCGGAAGGGGCCGGCGCGAGGGGTGGTTATGGGGCGCATTAAAAGCCAATAAAATCGAGAATACGTTATACCGGCCGTCCTGTATTGTTTTTTAGGCTCGAACGCCCGAGGAGCGCGAAATGGAAGCGGGAATATTTTACACATTAAACGCTTACCGCTCCTCGAAAGTGTCGAAGCAACACAATCCATCCTATTAGTTCAGTTATATTTCTGTATTATTTCCGTATGCTATTTTTAACAATGTAATAAAAAAAGAAACGAACGAGCGCTCGCGTGATATGTAAGCGATCGGAATAACGCGTCGCGATAAAACTGGAATAATCGATCTGAATTTTTTCCACAGAATCCGCCTGACGTTTTTTTCTCTCTCTCTCTCTCTCTCTTCTTCGCCGATATTTGCGTATTCAAATATGTGAATACGCGAACGTCCTTTCGTTTATTCGAATGCGCGTGAACTTGTAATGGAAATGTCCGGGAGTGAAGTCGCCGACGAACGGGGGGCGCACACGTCGAATGTCGAACGACGAGGACGGATGCGAAATAACGCGAGCGATAAAATTCGATACGACGATATGACGACGGCGACGGCGACGCGTTCCGCGTACGGAGTTCGGTGAGAAATGGGGGCGGACCTGCAATTTCGCGCGGAGTCGGAATTCACCGCTCGCGCGCACAATGATCCGCGGTATACGCCATTCGGCGGAAACTGCGTCGGTCCGATTCGCAGGCAAATTCCGCGAGCATCGCATTATTTCGCTCTCCGCTGTATCAGGGCGCTCCATTTGGCAGGCCGGTCGACGAGCGGCCGTAAATCACGGAGTACGACGTCGTCTCGCGCCTAAAAGTGTATTAAAAAACGCGGTTGACATTATGCGCGCGCGCGCAATCGCCCACCCCCGAGAAACGCGAGTCCCGACGATATAATCCTTAACCTTTTTGGAGCGTCTCCATTCTCGGCTGCCGACGAGCCGCGTCAAACGGCAACATTGTGTGTCCCGTGCCAAGGTAAATGTTACGTCATAAATAAAAGATGCGTCTCGTCGCTATGGACAAGCGCGCGCGCGTGGCCCCGACAACTCCCCCGGATGAAAATCCGCGGATCACCGGGGCAATTTCGCGAGAGCCCCTCGTCTTCTATTTTGCATATCGCAAACTTCTGCGAGAAACTTCGCCCGCGCCAGCGAGCAACTTCGTTTCTTATGTGCGCTTTCGCAGAGATTCGCGGAACAGATATATATTCTCGAAAATAATTATCTACACGACCGGCGTCGCGATGGAGAGTGGATGCGAAATGAATACATTGAAGAAAAGTCTTTGATAGTTGATGAATGCATTTGGCTGAGCGTTTCATTGCAATATTTGTTAATATCAAATGTTGAATATCAAATGTGTTAATGGCTACCAACTGTTTGGTAATAATTATATTACATAATAATTAGTTAAAACAAAGCAAATTTCCGAAGAAGTTGAAACAATTATATTATTTGGTAATTAATACCGAATAATATAATTGTTAATATAATATCGAATAATTTTGTAATAATTACCGAATAGTTTAACATATTTACCAAAGCGTTTTGGAACTATTCTTAAATTATATGATAATTCTTAATTGTCCACATAATGTGGTAAGTATTGCGTTTTACTTGACAAACGATTTAATAATACATATAAATAAATTAGTAATAGTTGCCAAAACTTGGCAACAAGTACTACACTGAGAGAAACTATAGTTATTTTCGGTGCCAACCACAACCTTTTTATAGCTTTAACCGCAAAAATAGCAGCAGCAACATATATGTATTATGCAGGTTATTATCACCAACGCTATAATAACACTTACTAGAAAACTGGTTTTCCTGACTATAATAAGACTATATGACTCTGATGATTACAGTCACAAATATCAAATATTTTTCTCTCAGTGCAAGTTTTCCGAAGATTATCTGTTATTTGTTAATATTCGCCGCATTATTTGATTATATTTACCTTACAATTAGTTGAAACTATTTCACCGAAGCATTTAGCAATTATGACCCAGGCTTGATGGCTATTACCGAGTCTTTTTTTCAGTGTACGTGAAATTTATCAGAGGCTGGTAAAAAATTTACCAGCGCATCATATAATATTCGCGCGATGCTGCATGAAAAATTTCGCTCGAACTAATTGGCTCGCATCCCACTTTGTATTCCGGATGATCCGGATATTCCAATCGTATATTTTGTTCATTCGCGCGTGCAGTCGGCCATTCGGGTCCAATCGATGTGTCCCACGTGTATCGCGGTTGCTCTTAAATCACAGAAGCGGATTTGAATCGCGCCACAAGTTACTCGAGTTGTTTCGTACGCACGGCGGCGGCGGTCCTGTTTATTTGCGCTCGCGGCTCATCGATCTCGATTCGGACGTTGGAAGTGGAGTGTGCCGCGTGAGCGATCTCGTCGCTTGGATCGCGCACGCATATGAGCGAACACCATGTTCAACAGATCTTACTTTGCACATAACGTGGCGCGTCTATAAGAAACGCTGTGTCTGGAGGTACAGGGTCACTACGGGGCTACAATCAATGATAGCTGTGCTTTGTAGTTTCTTACTGCTCGCTGTCGACGTGGCGGAGTCACTTAAATTATTACCGGCGAATGCAAATCCCTCGACAGTGACGCCGGCAGTTGTTGATCGACTTTGAGACTCGCGTAATTCTTCAAAGGTCTTTGTAGTTTGCCGCTATCCCGCGAATAGTACACTGAAAAAAGAATTTGGTGAGAAGTACTCAAATTTGGTGAATACTTACTGACCAAACGTTTGATTACTGCAACCAAATATTTGGTCGGCAAGTATTCATCAAATTTTAGTATTCATTATCAAATTCTTTTTTCAATGTAGTAAAAACTAAGTGCTTGTGAAGTGTTTCTCTCTCTCTCTCTCTCTCTCTTGAACGATACCTTATTATTTTACGAATCTCACGAGGCGAAGCGTCTAAATTAATTAAACGAATATAATTGGAATCAACCAAACATACACACACATGAGCACTTTTACACGCACGTGAATTCAATCATTAGAATTTCGATAATAAGCTAATGATGTTTCAAAGTTAAATGCGCGCGTGAATATTGCATAACAAGCGTATAACAGCGTGCTCACGAGGCACTAATACTAGAATTATTAATGCAACGCGCATTACATTTGCATTAATACGCATATCGTTAATACTCGTGCGCGCTTATCGTTAATTTTTTTGCCGTATTTAACGATAGATAACACCAGGCACACGGACTTTGTGTGTAAACGGAAAGTTTACGCGGAGTTTGGAATTAGCTTAGCGAAGAATTTGAAGTATGCCTTGATCTCGTGACCAACTTTAGGATACGCTTGGTATAGTAGAAATTGCGTGCTTAAAGTTTAACTCGGAGCACGTCTCGGGCACGTCCGACGGAGCGCGCCCGTACACGTTTATCTATCTATTTATTCCGCCTATCTTTCCTCATCTGTGTTCCTTATTTATTTATTTTTATCCGTCTTTCCTCGATATACGGTGCTAATAGAGAGATATCGATAAGGATTGCATGCCCGCCGGCGAGCTTTTCATTCGTGCGTGCGATCTCCGGAAGGGGGGGGGGGAAGGTCAACAAGCGGCGAGTATCCACTGTGCCATCGGTAGTTTTACACGTTTATAATACATTAAGACCGCCAACGTTATAACTAAGCAAGCCGCGAACAGTAAGACTTATCACCATCTCGATACCCGTCGATATTGATTCGTCACGTTCCTTGACACTGCTTATACATTTCCGACTGATGTATGCAAATTCTCGCGTACCATCCGGCAAATTGGATTTATATGTGCGAATACCTCACGCGTTACCGTATGCGCGCGCCGTCACTCCGTGTCGCATAATTAGATTCCCCGCTGGCCTATTGTTTATTGGCTTAACCGCCTCGTATATCGCGGATATCGCGGATTGCCTCCGCGTATGAACGGTATGATTCCAACTGGCGATAAGGGTTGACCGGCCATAAGCGGCGAGATGTACACGCTACACGGAGGAATAACGGCATTACAACCTTGTACATTTGACTTTCAGTCACTTCGGCTATGTTAATGTCAAACTTTAGCGCCTTTAGCACGATCGTCCGCTGTTCTATTCTGCTTCTCCCGAATGAATCCATCACGGAGGGGGGAAAAAAAGTGCGTGACGCTTGAACTTTGGTTGCCCGTACTTTTTCTTTCCTTTCTTGGTTTACCACTTCACGTTTTTGTGCTGTTATTATCAGTCCCCCGGGTTATTGTATGCCATTACCATTCCAAATTTGTCTCTTTCATACGCACGGGCGTGCGTGTTTCTGGCAGTTACGAGCTCGCTTTATTATATCTGCATTGCGCGCGAGCGCAACATTCTGCTCGCCAATCTTGCGCGAGTAAATAACTCGCGAGGGGTCTGGAGTCGTTCCTATTAATATATAACGCTAGCACATTCAGCCCCTTGTTTCCCGATGCCTCGCGAAACTCTAGTATGTAAAACGACGAGAAGGCCTAGGCGGAGTGAGTGGGTGGATATAGTTGGATGGATGGGAGCGCACCTGAATGTTGCATGGTTTGTCGCGTGTTCGCACACGAACCGCCGTCGCTGTTACGTGTCGCGTGCCCGTGAATCTTGGCGCACGCGAGAACTACATGAAAGAGAGAAAGAGAGAGAGAGAGGCTCGTCGAAGATATTTAGCATGCCGGACGAGTATTCACGCCCGAACACGACGCGGCCATACAAACGACCTTAAGCGCCTTCGAGCACTTCTCCCGTCTTGGCTTTCCTCTCACGAGGAGTCCCTGGCTGTGCCGTTTCGGCCGTTTTATGGCTATAGGCAACGGCCACCGTGCGAGCTGCAGCTCTCTCTCTCTCTCTTTCCCCCCCTCTCTCTCTCTCTCTCTCTAAGCCAATCCACGAGTTATTTCGGGATGTGACATTTCGATACCGCTGCGCTTAAGGGATTAATTCGCCTAACAGTTTGAAGCAGCTCGCGCGAAAACTTTTCTCCGACTGTTGCTATTAAGAGGCAAGTCCGACGTTCCTCTTCGATACACGAATATTACCGCGGCGAGCTTCGTACACAAATTACGCAACGGCGAGCGGATTTTTTTCTTTCCGTCGCCGTCCTTGTAGCATCTAATAATCTGATATTCAACTCGTAATTGCGAGCCATTAGTCTAGATAATTGCGGCGATTTTTTGTTTGTCCGTTGTAGGGGTCACGGTTAAGACATCGTTGTTTACATAATCGGATTCGCGAGTGACAGCGATTGTTACAGCGTTTCTTAGAACGTCGCTGATTATTTCGTCATAATGCGAAGTATTCTCGATACGAGGCAGTACAGCATTAGCACATTAATGACGACGCGACGCGACGTGCCATTAGATGTTCTCCGACTCGATCGATTGTAATTCCAGTTCCAGCTGCGCGCCGAGCCCGCCTGTATTAATCTTTTGCGGGGAGATGTCGGGAGATTCAGTTCAGTCAGCCTCGTTCCGCTTCCCGCGATATTATACCCATCCGAAATAACGAATGCCGTGTTTCTCAATATTTTACAAAGTCAAATCCTCCATCAGAGATACGAACAGCCTCCCGTTTAACTTACGAAACGTCGTTCCTTCACTCACAGAAAAAATTAGCCGTTTAGGAGCTCAAATTCAGCTGTGGCGGCTAAAATGGGGACAGCCAATGTCGTTGCTACCGCAAGCTAAATTTACGAACTGTTAGAGATAAGATTAAGATATAAGATTTGTCGCAAGGTACAACTATATTGTTCGTTGAAGCGCCTTAATTTGAACAGCTAATAACTTTAGCGGATAGGAACAACATTAGCTGTCCTTATTTTAGCTCCTACGGCTAATGCTTTCTTTCTGAGCAGCGCTACCATCTAGTCATTAAAGTTACTTTTTGTTACTTTTCCTTAATATGTTACTAAAAAATTTATTATCATCCTAATGGGTCACCTAAATGGGTCACTGTAATCACTTTTTTTCGAGCTACCGTTAAATTTGTAAAATATGAGAGTGGATATGTACATATTTTTGCCGTTTCTCTCTACGAAACTATCCGGAAAGCGTACTTGGATCATTTATGTCCTTGGTTTTGTTTGCTATAAATTTTCCGTACTATGAAGAGAACTCGTTATATATTAAGTTATCCAAAGACAAATCTGAGAAAGTAAAAATAAGGCCGGTACTCATAGTCAGATCTTATATTAGGTCGTCAAGGATGAAATTTGTAGAAAAAAAGGCAAAGTTGGTTGATAACTTACAAATATGAGGAATTATTTTATTTATCAAAGTATGCACCCATATTGTCTCTACACTTTTGTCATTTAAGCGGCAGGTTGTTCAGGCCGGTGGTATAAAAGCCTGGCGGACGAGAGTCAATGAATTCCTGGAAGACCAGTTTTACAGCATTGTCGGAATTAAATTGTTTTCCTATTAAAAAGTTGTCCAAATTGCGGAAGAGATGGTAGTCAGTGGGGGCTAGGTCTGGCGAGTATGGAGGATGATGAAGAAGTTCCAACTCCAATTCCTGTAGTTTTGCCAGTCATTTGTGCAGTGTGTGGTCTAGCGTTATCATGCAATAAGATAGGAGTTGATCTGTTCACCAATCTAAACTATATTTCTTTAAGTTTTTGCATCATTTCGTCCAGTTGGTTGCAGTATATTTCTGCTGTGATCGATGAGCCAGATTTCATGAAATCATAATGGACCACACCTGCGCTAGATCACCAAACATTCACTATCAGCTTCTTTTCATGAATATTGCGCTTTGGAGTGTGTTTTGGTGATTGAAAGCAACATCAAGTAAGCTTCCAAACGCTTTTGTTTCTGTTTTTCATTCAGTTCATGTGGAATCCACTTATCCAACTTTTTCACTTTACCGATTTGAGCTAAATGAGTTAATATTGTTTATTTGCTAACACCAAACTTCAACGATAATTCATAGGCACTCTGACATGGGTCAGACTCAACGGTGACCTTTAGTTCGTCATTATTGACCTTTGATTCTGGGCGACCGCGTGGCTCACTTGTGAGGTCAAAGTTACCTGTACGAAATTTAGCGAACCAATTTGATACCGTCTGCTGCGTAGTAACACTAGAGCCAAATACACTATTAATGTTTCGCGCGGTCTGCGATGCCGTAGTTCCACGTAAGAACTCATACTTCATAATAGTGCGAATTTCCGACCGTTCCATTTTCAACAAAATTAATTTTTCAAAAAAGGTTTTAATATTTTTTAGAGCTTACAATTATTTCTTTAAACAGGCGAGATATGTAACTTTCCAACAAAAAAAAACAGAACGGTAATATATTAAGCCAATATTAAATAATAAGTTGTTACAGTTGGCAATATTATTAACTACAAATTTCATCCTTACCAACTTAATATTTAAAATCGTCTAGTTCATTTTCAGATGCTTCATTTCAGCCAATGAAACGAACCGTACAGCACCTGAAAATGAACTCAAGATGGTCTTATATATAAGATATGAATAAGTGTTACTTTTTTGCTTGAATGGCTTTAGTTAATCTCAGAATTTGACAGAAAATATCGCGTCTCGTGACTATTTCGTCACTATTTCGATATCTGAGAGATGCCTTTTTGTCACCTTTTCTATCAAGAAGCAGTCACTTTTCCATTTATTTCGTTCCGGTGATGACTAGACGGCAGCGCAGTCCGAATACTTCTTTTCATTATTATTTTCTGTCACAGTTTCTCTCGCTTGCGAGACGCAAAGTCTGATAGTCGGCGATTCTTATTCTGTTATTGCAGCCACAGCACAAAGGGCGATATATTCTCGAATATGTGTGCAAGCAACTCAACATTTTGGAGATGGACTACTTCGGTCTTCGCTACGTCGATCATTGCAGACAAAGGGTGAGTGCATTTATGTATGAACGATAAGCTCGCAGGGAAGGTAGCTTTTCCGAAACGTCGTGCCGCCGGATTTTAACTCGCGCCTCGGAGACTTCCGCATGACGCGGCCGATTTGTCGCTCTCTTCCGCGTGTACGACGGAATATCCATCTGATTACCGTCGTGTGTTTCTCGCATGTTAATATCGGGAAGAATCAACCGGTTGTCAACGGCGATCGGCGATGATTGACGCGTCGCGGAAGTCTGGAAAGACCTTCGTCGCGCCATTAAATTCGCTCTAGTGACACCCGGAGTGGCATGGCCGCGCGGTGTGTATGTGTGTGTATGTTGTACTCCGTCGTAATCGTTATTCTTAGGTCATCGATGTAATTCTGGTGGATTTAAAAATAAATGCGCCTTGAAATACCGACGATTCATCGGGGCGCGCTATATCGCTCACAAACACGTACATAAAAAAAAAAGGAGTGCACTACACTGCCCTCGTGTCTTATTATTATTTCACGACAGAGATAACGCGTTACTGCCGGTCGCATTATAATAGTTGCCGCAGCGTTAATTACCGCTGAATTGTTCGTCGAAGAAACACGCATCAGATCCAGTTATCACGAATACGAATGCCCGTACATCGATCAGCGTAACGACGCGGTTTAGCTCATCGATTGCCATGATTCTGGGTGAGGGGAGGTCAGAGGGGCGCAAATTTAATTTATCCCGCCAACGTTCGCTCACGTCACGGTGAAGACTCGCGAATGCTTCGAAAACCCGAATGCATTTCAATAAATACGCGCGCACGCACACGCCATTTTTTACGGCAGCGAATGTAAACAGTCCCGTTTGTTCGACGTTGCGTTGAAAAAATTAGACTGTTCCACGTCGTTGACGTATTCGCGTAGCGGGCATCTCGATGTGCTTAATATCGCGCACACGCTGTAAATGTTTCCAATCGGCAAATTTCGCGAATCTCAGAATTCCCTTACGTTCTTGTCGCTCTTTTGCCGGCTCGCCCGTGTCGGAGTAGTTATTCGCGTCTGTTCGAGGCGAACTTTTTCCACTTGAATTCGAACGGACGGGAACCACGAGCACGGGAAAGCGTCTCGCGGTCGATCTTAATTGGAAGCTACAACCGAATGAAGAAACACAATCGAATGAATGAGCACGAAATGAAATTAATCCGCATGTCGAAATTATCGCCCCCTTTTTCTTCGTCGTTCGCGGCCGAGGGAGAAAAAAGCGAGAGCGCGTTTAGCACCACATTATTATCCGCCGCTTATTTGATCGCGGAGGAAAAGGAAGAATTCGGCTTTGCAGCCTCAACGCGGAGCAGCGTCCCCGTGAGCTCTCCGTTCTTTCTCTCAAGGTCTGGCAAAATCAATATTGTCCGCCTGGACATCCGCAAACATTCCCCGACTTGTTCAAAAATTAAAACGCCGCACCCTACCCTTCGAGGCACAGTTCTCGCTGCTCCTCCGGCTTCCGCAGTCGGACGAGTCCGGGGGAGAAAGGCGAGAGATTTTTCACGAAGACCGTGGGAAAATCCTTTGTTGCGGAATTTCCCGTCAAGCGAGCCCGTAATACGTGTCTCTTGAAAGAGAAATTCTTTATTTCTCATTATCTCGCGAGGAGACGAAACAGCTTATTGCGTGAGCGTTCCCACCCGCTCTCTTTTTTTTTTTTTTTTCATAATTACATCTTCGCATGATACACGAAGTAATCTACTCTTTTCGCTGAAAAATTCCCGTCAACGAGTATCCCTTGTCACGTGCTCGCTGGCTGGTGGACGACGCTTGCTTTTGCGATGTCTTGCGTTAAGAGTCAGTAGTTGTGGCGTTGCGATGTGCGCGCGAGAGAGGGACAAAATAGCATTCTTAACACGGTGGCAGATTTATGGGGCACGTAGCTCACGTGACGACACGCGATTGTTCGTACACACGACGCCGCGGCGAAAGCCGCGGGGGAGCCGATGACAATGCATGTGCGGGTGTGCGCGGTCCGGTCTAAAAATTGAGATAATATTCGCGTGGTCGCTTTTTGGTGCATTCGGAGCGCGGATGCGGCCACCGAGAGCGGAACACGACAAATCTCCCGGGAGAATGATAGATTATATCGCGCGTCATATCGACTGTTATTATCCGAGTTTAGCGGGAGGCCCTCCCAAATCCCACTCCATCCACTTTCTAAAGGTGGCCATTGTAACGAGCGGCTTAAAGAGATATATGCGCTGCTATCCGCTTCTCGTCTCCTCACCCCGTTCCCGCTCTTCCGAACTATTCCGGGCAATCTGGAGTTGCAGCCGATTCCTGATCCGATACTTGGACCGGAATTTATCACTCGGATCTGGATTGACGTGTAATCGCGAAGCCGATAACACGCCGGGCTGGGAAATCGCCTTTCGCACCGGACGTGTATATTCGTCAACGATATTACGTACAGTCCGACGATGTTGCGTTAGCGACGATCAAAACGTACGGTAACTTGGAACGAGATATGTGCCGCATCAAGCACATTGGGACAGTTAGCGTCGGAACAGATGCGCAACCTCGTCGGCGTAATTTGCCAACCGGTGAAACGTGCGTTTCTCGCGTGAGCGCGGGTCGTTATGATAACATCGTCGGGGCGGCTCATTTTACTCGGCAAAAAACGTGTTTTGGACGGCCGCCTTTCCTTTCCCCACGGGACACTCCCGTTGGGCTCGGCGCGTTATGTTTGCTCTATTTCGACGGTAAACCCGCGGAATTAATAAGCAGAGGCCGCGATTCTGTTTGCCTCGTCCCCACGTGCGTCCGAAGTTTGCCTTATGAAACAAATAAATGTCCTTACGCGAGCATTTGCCAACGGAAACATCCGTCGAGCCGTAATTAGTGACAATGAACTAATGACGATGCCTCGCTGCGAATAACGGGGCCCTCTCAATAAATAAATAATCGGCCGCGTTGTGATCGTTTGTTTTGTAATAACATCACGAATGTTGTTTGTTTTTCAGCATTGGCTGGACCTAGCGAAAACAGCGATAAAACAGGTGAAAGGTTAGTATCGTTCGAAACTCAACGAATTATACCTTCGTGTTTGAGGAGATACTACGCGGATTTGTTCTTCGTTTCGCGCACGTAACGGAGTATGCGCGACGCAACAGTTGAATTATGTACATTGGAAGGAGGAAATCGGGTAAGATGAACGAAGTCTCAGAGTTGCGCAGGTTTTATTGTACAAAAAGAAACTGCAATCGATAAAAGTATTTCACAAATTTAATAAAAAGTCATGTCGGATTCAGCAATTCGACGTAAGAATTTTTAACGGAAAAATTTAGTAAACAGTAATAAATTAACGAAACTGAAACGTAGTTGTACGTGCAATATAAATGCTCTTTAAACTCAGACTGTTTATCTAACTGTACAACACGAGTGTGTGTAATTCTATCTCTGGCGGAAGCTTAAATAAATTATATGATAAATATACGATGAAAAATGCCTTTGGTCAGCTTTACGATCGCCTCGTTATACGAGATTTTGAGCTTGTCTCGCACAAATCAGGAGATTAAAACACATAAAAATGTCGGTGAAGGAATTAAGACAATTTGCAATATTCGCACACAGTCAATGGAAGAAAAGTTGCGACACTTTTAGGTCCATGAACTCCAGAATACATCCGATATTGAATAGGAAAATTAATATTCTGAGAATTATAAGAAAAACAAACAAATTTTCCTATCGAATACGGATAAGTTATGAAACTCATTGCAAAAACAGTTGTAAATTTTCGTCCACTAACTATATATAGGATGTTCCAAAATAACTGCATGTGAAGTGCATCGTGGGATTCTTGGTACTAAACGAAGCAACTTTTTGTTTACCGAAATTTTCTTTCGAATGAAATAGAACGAATAGTTTCTAAATGAGAGCTATTCAGAGTTGTCGAATTAACATACTAGATTGCGCATGAAGTAAGAACAGCGCGCGTTGCAGAATTACGAAATATCACGTGAATTATATAGAGACTGTTTTTCTTCTATCTCGCTGAACATTTTACTACGCAATTAGATATATTTGAATTTATCACTATTTTGAATAGAACTTTGTACAAATAATTTATATAAATAGTATTCTACGGCCTTTTTTAAAAGCACAAATATTTTTAAGATATCAGAATATTTCGTGTAGAAAATTATTTGTTTATCATTTAAGTATACTTTATTTGTAGCCGTTTTTCCAATGGCATCGGTAATGAATTCTTTTGTACCAAATAATTTTCATTAAAAATAGCGGTAAATTCAGATAATAATTATTTGATACACAAAGATTTCCTGTCGATGCTACTGAAAGAACGACTACAAGTAATAAAATAATGTGCTTAAATGATACATAAATAATTTTTTATATGAAGTGTTGTTCTAATTTTTTTTTAATATTTGTGACTTTGAAAAATGTCAATGGAATGTCAGTTATACAAATTATTTATATAAACAAATTTTACTCAAAATAACGGTAAATTGAGATACAGTTGCGTAATAAAATCTTCAGTGAGGTAGAAGAAAAATAACTTGCATGATTCTCATGATATTTCGTAGTTCCACTTCTGACTCATGAGCAACCTAGTACGTTAATTCGACAATTCGAAATGGTTCTCACTTGAAAACTATTATTTGAACGAAATTTTGATAAAGGATAAATGGCTTGGTATCAAAGAATCTTTCGATGCATGCGGTTATTCTGGAACCCCTTGCAAATACAATTCTAAAATCTAACTCGTTTAACTCGACTCGAGTTGTTTCGACAGGTCTTTTCCTGCATGTTACAGTACACAGACATCGCCTGTACTTTCTCTCTCTTCGAGATAAAATTCTTCGTCGCGTTTACGCAGGAATGCAAAAAGCGAGCGCGCTCTGGCCGAGCCGAACTCCACGATATTCTCGATAATCATTTCAATCTCGTTCACGCTGCGGCACGCAATTAACGACGCAGCGACGGGTGTACTTGTAAGACGAAACAAACAAATTAAACGTTCTGCAGATATCTCTCATTTGCGAGCGATTCCATCCTGCGTTGCAACGCGTGACGGCGGTCGACCACCAAGGAAATTCTATTCACTAGGACGGGCTCTGCCGTGCTATAGTCGGTGATGTATAGTGGTTGTCGCGCATAGAACACAGGTATCAGGTAGCGAACAGCTGTGACCAAGGCTTCGGTCGTCGTGCCTCTTTCCTCCCACACTCAATTACGTCGGGTCGATGTCACATGAAAGTTTCAAGCAGTCGCGACCCGCTGGCCTATTCTCGTAGACTTGGTCAGACCCGGAGCGAGCTTATCCAAAAAGCATCTGGACGCTTTTTCCCGACCTGGAAAAATTCGATCGACGATCGGTCTGCTCGTCGGCGAAGAAGAGATATCGCGACTTCCTCCTCGTCGCTCCGATCAGCGCGAATATTCTCGCGAGCAGAGAGAGAGAGAGAGAGAGAGAGAAAGAGAAACGGCTTCGCGGAAAGGTTCGTCTTGAGATGGAATCCGACGAGCGGCACGGGGAATCAGGCTGAAAAGTATTTTCGCGTACCGCGGAATGAGCTAATACGAGCACGACCTCTTCGTCGTCTTCGTACCTGTTGATTTTCGCAACGCTCGCGGAACCGAGATTTGCGACGTCGATACCCCCGTCGTCGGAAGCATCGTTTTTAACGACACCGTTGCGTCTTTGCGTGTCCGTCGTTTATCGTCGCGACAGCCAATCGGCAAGTCGCGCAACGACGCAGCGTCGCACCTAATTAAATTTCATCCGATTTAATCGATGCCCGCGTGTTGTGAGCAAAAGTTAAAAGTATCTTATCGGCGAAAGCGATGAGGTATAATGATAACGCATCGAATAAGATCACGACCTCGCATTACGGAGACGGCGACATCGCCGTATTACCGAGTGTAAAGACCGATTTACATCGTGATACATTCGCGAGTGTGTCGTACATTCTCACTTGCACAGCACGGAATAACGCGCGCACGAACGTGCCCGTTAAACGTCGTTCTTCCCGAGTGCGAAGTCGCACGACAATCGGCGATCTTTATGTAGCGGGACTAATACGCGCTACACGAACCGGCGGAATAGCCTCGGCACGCAATGTAACTATGTTATTGGGATTTCCTGACCTCGCACGCATTATTGATTTATTATTTATTGATTATTCACAGGAAAGCGGTAGCGATATGTCAAGCGGTAATCTATCATTGTGATAGCTTTACGTTAATGCTCGAAGACGAACGTGTGCGTTAATAAAATACCAGTAACCTAATTACACCGCGTATTAAGGCTATCCCGCCGGCCGGTGTATAGTCAGTGGAAGAAAGTTGCGATACTTTTAGCTCGATGAACTTCAGAACGCATCTGATAGCCAAGAGGAAAATTCGTCCGTAAAAAAAATTGGAATTTATTTAATGTTGAATTTTGATTTTAATTTATCATTAAAATTTATCTTCAGCTGGCCACACTTATTTTCGAATCTTTAATTCGCTACACTCAGGTCCGAAGACTGCTCGACTTTTTTTTTCGCTTTGTCATTTTCATTCTAATGAATATTTTTCAGCTTTTAATGTGGGAATTTGAAATACAGAGTTTGAATAAGTTTATGATATCAGGTAAAAAAAAAATGATTTGAGTTTAAGTTAAATTTATTATTATAAGAAAAAGAATGTTTTCGGAGAGAATTCTCAAATGACTTTGCAAATGCGATTTAACAAAAAGTGATGTTCGTTCGTTGTAGCGGACACCTAATGCTTAAAAAAAATAGTGCAGCCACGTGAAAACTAGAACATCTAGAAACGTTCAGCGGATTGACTGAAATGCGGCGAGAAAGAATTAAATTTATCATTAAATTTCTTAAAAACAGATTCTGCTATTGGATACGAATCATAGAGAAATTCATTGAGAATAGATTGTTCCTTTAATAATCATTCCTCTTACAACTATGTGTATACAGCGGATACAAAACAAACGCTTGCTTTTCGTATTCTCCTTAAGATAATCCACATTAAAATGAAATTTCACCAGGTGCTTTGTGCTCGATATGTCCATATGTAAAAACGATATTTTTCGACAAAGAATTTTACCTGAATATGGAATGCGTGAATGCTCTTTCCACAGTGGCACATACCGTCGCCTCGCAGCGTGTTGAAATGTTTTCCCGCAAGACTCGATTACAAAACGATAATGCGTTCACACGAAATAAAAGGGACCCTCGCAATGTCACCCCCNCGCAAGACTCGATTACAAAACGATAATGCGTTCACACGAAATAAAAGGGAACCTCGCAATGTCACACCTCCCGCCACATTAATACGAACGCTGCCGTTAGTTCGTTAATACCGATCAACGCTCGCTTTCCGTCGTTTCTACCGTCGTCGGTGTCCTTTCGAGTGTAACTTACCACGCGAATACTCATCCTCTCGCACGATGTCCATTTCGTACGGTATCGCGTGTATCGATTGTTGTTCCGAGAAAAGAGAAGAGGTCGATATACATATCGGTCTTTCGTAAAACCGGTTATTGCGCATGTTGCCGCGAGCACGATATGAACTAGCGCTTAAATTATAGAATTACACTTGATGGCTTTTCGTCCATGGAAAGCTGTCGTTTGATACTGCTGCGATATAAGCAACACAACTCGCTCAATACCATGATAAATAACGATGACGACGGGATTTTTGCGAACGGCAAGAGCGTCCGAAAAAATGTGTAATCGCGGCGGTGTAATGTGACAATGAGTCGTTCGAGAAAACAAAAATGCCGATCTAATAGATTTAAACACAAGAGAACGAAACAGTCACTGTTAGTATATATTCATACGCGATTAACACTGTTCGATAAAATTTGATCTTTTTTTGCATTACGAGTTTTGCATTAATAATATATCTGATGTATTTCTGATGTATTTTACTTGCTGAATACTTTGTCCAAATTTGGCTATCACGTCACATTTTTTAACAAAATGGTGTCAAAGAGATAAAAATGACGATTTTGGGGTTTTCCCTGACGTTGTAGCATCGGCAGCAAATTTTTTTTTCTTGAATTTCGATAACGTTGTACGAAAACATCAAGTTTTAATTTTAAAATGCATTTTGTCTTGTTTTAATATAATTTTTCGTTTTCGAGATATAGCAATTTGAAAATAGCTCTTTTCCCATGTAATACACGGAAAAAATATTTTATTCCATCTTAATATTGAATTATATGGAAAATGCTTACATAATATAATCGGATCATACTAAATCAGAAAGCAACGTGAAATTGACAAAATACAATATAGCAGGAAGATTATAATTTTAAGATATAGGAATAGGATTGTATCGGACAATGTAATGAGGCAGGAAGTAAGATATACTATATTTATTTCTTCAACTAACTAAAGCCGATATTCAAAATCGGATCTTATATTTTAGACCGTCGTAAGTTCTTCTTTAGATGTTCCGTAACTAATGAAATGAGTTGTACAACATTTGAAGATAAACTTCAAACGGTCTTAAATATAAAGTCCGATTATGAATACCGGTCTAAGAATGATATTTATAATAAGATTTTATACTTAAAGTCGTCTCAATTTTATCTTAAGATTCCATGCAGTTAATGAAATATAAGATAGAACTATGAATACCGAAGTGTGTGTATTCTGCTTAAACGCTTTGATTCTAATTCCGATTTTTTCCGATACGACACTCTAAATTTCTTAGAGTGAGTTCTAGGTTAAAGCGGCAGTATTTTCACTCGCTTGAAGTGAATTGTCACTTCGTTTGGAGTGAAGATTCACTCCAAGCGAGCGAAAATACTGCCACTCTTAGAACTCGCTCGAAGAAATTTAGAGAGCAGCGGATAAAAAAATGCAATGATGCTTCTTACAACATGCAATGATGCTCCTTACAACATGCAATGATGCTTCTTACAACAATCTAACAACGTTCGTTGGATAGTAGTTTGCTAATAATAAAAAAAAAGGAAACGAGGCTCGAACTTCTTGCCGCTAAGCTGCCGAGTCAGAGGACCGCCGTGTTACCGCGGCGGGGGCGTGTGAAACTGTACTCGAAGTACTCCTCGTGCACGTAGGCGAAGGCACCGGTCTGCGCAAAAACGCCGAAAAATCCAGCCACCACTCACCGCGACTGTGTTCCAGACATGGACCCGATTTTGTTTAGTTTCCGCGTGAAATTCTACCCGCCCGATCCTCTGCGGCTGAAGGAGGAGATCACCAGGTATCAGATTTACCAGCAACTTAAGAGGGACCTTCTTCACGGGCGTTTATACTGCAGTCCCGGCGAGGCAGCGCTGCTGGCGGCGTGCATCGTGCAGAGTAAGCCCCCGATATCATTTATTCATTTGTTTTATTCATCGTCGGTTTCCTCATTCCGCGGCCTTTATGCACATTCGAAGGCAAACGCAGCCAGCGCTACTACCATCACTCTATTCACGGAATCGAGACAAACGCTTGGAAAGCGACCTTTTCGGGAGTCGATGTACTCTTTCTTACGTAAATATACAACTCCGGCTCTGTGACCTTTGCTTCTTGCCGCAATCTCGTTATTGGGAACTTTTAACGTAGCCGTGTGCCGGACGAAGCAATGCGACCCGCCACTTTCCGCGGTAACCGATCGTGACTCGTCGTATTAAAACTTCGGTCGTCGACCATCAATCCTCGGACCGTTCACCTTTCAGCGAACCGTATCGTGACTACAGCGACAGAAACCGTTTCCTGGTCTCTCGCTGGGGATCTTTTTGTGTTAATCTTGACGCCAAGTTTTGCGAGACATTTTGCGAAGCGTCGGAACCGGTGCTTCCCCTTATTAAGCGAGCCGTTTTTCACGCAGAGATTTCTCGGCCGCGCACATTCGTCAAATAGTTTCGTTTTTGCACGGATTTTTTATCGTCCGGTGAAGATGAAAAACCGTGCCGCGAACTGGCTCGATATTTTGCGATTTTTTCCAATGTTGGCTATATAACCCGGATAAATACCCGGATATCACAGACAGCCAAACTCACCCTTCTGGACACCCAAACTCGCGGACACTATTCGGGTATCCGGAACCAAAATATTTTTATAACAGGGTGATGTTTCTCTTTAAATAATAATAAATCTATTTTTTTCGCCACACAATTTGCATGTAAAAATATCAAGCTAACCCTGAGATGAAATTTTACACTGAAAACAAAATTGCTACGTTCAAATAAACATTTGCTAAGGGGTATTATAGAGTAGTTTATTTTATTTGGATTAAATAAATATTACTTGAATGTAACACTTTTTCTTCCAGTGTGCTATATTCCAGTAATATTTACTTAATCTGAATAAAATAAACTATTCGAATACTTTCCTTAGCAAATATTTACATGAATTTAGATTTTATTTTCTTTTTCAGTGTAGTTCTACATTAAGTCTATTTGGTTCTACATTACGTTTTCATTAGGTCTTCCATTTTGTTCCTTTAATGCTACAAATGAAAAGTTATTAGTGGATTTTCTCTACTTGAAGACTTAATGTAGAACTAAGTAGACTTAGCCTTGATTCTGTAACTGTTAACGAGAATGCCGTTATTGTTACGTCGTCGTTGCGCAGATATAACGTATAGCAGAAAAGCTGCGCAACGACATCGTAATCGATGACGTATCGATAACGAGACATTGTTAAAAGCTACAGAATCAGTTTATTAATATAGAACCAACATTTTAACTCGGGAAGACCAATGAAATTGAATACTTTTTACCTATTCATTTAATTTTTTCCTTTGACACACTCCTGAGATATGCCGAGTCGATATTTTAGCTTTATATTAAGTTTATTTAATTTTGCATTAAGTGTGCAAAGGTCTCATACTGTGCTCCTTGTGCTATTGTGTTATTTCCATTATCTCCGCTTGAAAACTTGATGCAGAATTCAAAATTTCCCTCCGGGAGGTCTAAATTCTCTTTGTAGTCTCAAGGGTGCACTGCTCCTTTAATGCTACAAATGAGAAGTTACCGTTTTCTCCACTTGAAAACTTAATGTAGAACCAAGCAGACTTAATGTAGGAACTGAAATTTCGACTCGGCTTAGAAAGTAAATATTTCGTAAGATGTCTACTTTTTGTGACATCATTTTGATATTTTTATGCGTGCAAAGTGACTTGAAGAATAAATAAAGGGACTTAAGAATAAATAAATAAATAAGATAGAAAATAAATAACTAAATACTCCGGCACACACCTGGGAGTAATGTCCGGAATTGACGTCGCTAATACCTTCGCCATCCTCGTCATTTGTCTTTGACACCTGGCTGATGCAACGCTCGTTTCTCAGCCGTCGACGATTTATATCCCGTCATTCGCGCCCCATAGCGATTGAACAACGATTGCTCATTTTTTCAACTGTCCTTTCCACATCGTGCCCTGCGAGGCATTCCATGATTTACGTTCGTTGTATACGGCTTACATGCTCCTGCAGGAATTAGATACGGAGGAGCTTCCGATGGCGACTCGAAATAATACGCTCTTCCCACCTCGTAATTTTCAGGCGAACTGGGGGATTACGATATTGAGGTGCATGAAGGGAATTATATCTCTGAGCACAAGTTGCTGCTGAAGCAAACCGAGACGATCGAGGAGAAAGCGATGGAGCTACATCAGACTCAGTTGAAAGGGTTCACGCCGGAACAGGCGGAAACCCACTTCCTTAGGTTAGCCTCGCAATTGGACACGTACGCGGTCGATCCACATCCGGTCAAGGTGAGTTTTATATTTTATCTTTTACACGTATCGCGCTTGATAGAACTTTCTCTCTCTTTCTCTCTATTTTTCTCACCGGGACGAATGCGGAACGAAGAGTTTTCAATTCCGAAATTCTTGTCGGACGACATAAATATATCTCAACTTGTTTGGGCTCAAACTTTCGACCCGTTTGGCAAAGCCGTTATCAAAGATCGCATTTCTGGCGCAGGAATAACGGCGCGTATCGTCGTCGTGGATTGCAAGTTCCGAGATCGATAGTCGAACTTGCTGATGAATCACATTACGACAGATATATCGCCATATATCGTGAACAGAAGTCGTATATTTCCTGTACGTCGATAAGACTCCATAACCGGTTTATCTTCCTCGCGAGAGCGAGAACGCGCCTCGTATTAGTTCCATAAAGTTTTCGCATTAGCTCCATCAGCAGAGCTTCTCTCACTCACTCTCTCTCTCTCTCTCATCTTTATTAATTTTAACACTTTTATCTTTATTATTAAGCCCATTACTGAAAATCGAGCTCAAGTCTGTCGCAAAATTAGATGCTGATTAATCGCCACTTAGCTGCTGTGTCCTCGAATTTATTGTGCTCCTACACATTCGCTGGGAATAAATTTCCAAATTGAGGAATGTTAACTTGTGCCTTTGCTGTTGACAACCGGCAGAGCGCTACTGAAAACACACCTGTAATCTGTTATAAAAAAAACAACAATGTAATCGAATAAATTGTTATTTGATTGGTCTGAAACACGACGAACAAAAATGAAATATCAAAATATGGAGATACCGAATATCAAATATATCTGCAAATAGGAAGAGAATGAGGGAGAAGAGAGAGGAGAGATTTGACATCATTTCCATGATCAACATTTATATTATCGATGTAAGCCCATACGCGTATGCATTACTGCGAGCCGGCAGCCGTTATCGATTTCAATATGCCCGCGCGCCTTTGTGTGAATTCGCATTTAATTTGAAGTTTCAATTCGCGCAGACTACCTATCCCATTCGCGAGCGGATCGATAAGATAGAAACCGTTTTCGAAGATAAGTTTTGATTCCGCCTGTCATTGACGTATTCCCCGATATATCACGGAATATGAAACGGAATTCATTGATATTGAAACGAAACGAAACCCTTACGTGGCACTTCCTCGACGAACGTATCGAGTCTGTTTTATTTTAACGACAGCTCGTTGAGGGTTCGTTTCCGGACCTCTTTAAGACGATATCTTGAGACGCGTGTGTGTGTTTTCGAGTGAGCTCCTCAATTAGACACGTACTGTCGACCGAATGCTTTCGATACTGCCGCCGCGATACGCGTGCAATTGTTTAATTAATGTCGATCGCGCTCGCCGAAGCGCCAACCGTTATCTCCGTTGGGACACTTTTCCTGACAAATACACCGCGACAAATATAACTCGGCTCGGCCAACTAATAATCTCGCGTCTCACGTATCGCCTCGCGAGAAAAAGCACTCGGCTATTATTCGTCACGATGCATTCACTCGTTGCACTTTCGTCGCGAGGCATGAACACGGCACCTGTCGTTTATTGGTTTTTCACTTCCTGACTGGACAGTGTCATTGTCGCCGAGAAATAATCGCGGCCCATTGCATCGGCCGCCTTCCATTTAAGGGAAAATGTCGTCTTTATGGTATGCCATCGTCGATCACGGAGTGTTTTCACCTACTATAACCCGGGCAGGTGAATGCGATTCGTCTGCGAAGTATCTGTTTTATGCACCGAATGCTCGATTGTTGCACACGCGTCATAAACAGCACGGTAACAGCTCGAATGAATTACACGCGAAACAAGTGGAAAAATAGTCCTTCGAGAGACCCGACGGCAGGATCTGAGCGTGCGGAAGGACTTCGAATGTGGTGGATGAAGTACATTGAAACAAAATATCGGGCAAAGATGAATCTCGTGGATATGTTTGAATTATTAAATTAAATGAGTATTCCGGAGTTACGCGCAATTTTGTCGCGTTAACTGCGATCGAGTAAAACTGAGTGAAAACTGAGTCGAGTCGACGACCTGACGTGGGTGCTTGAATTAGAAAATTTAATCAATAGTAAACAGTTAACGAGACTAAAATGTGGTGATACGTGTGATATAGATGTTCTTTCGAGTAACCGAAAGATTGATTTAACTGCATAAGAATTACACGCGAAACAAGTTGGAAAAATATCCGGCAACTGCATCTAAGCGTGTGAAAGAACTTCGAGTAAGAAGGATAAAATACATTGAAAAAGAAATCGGGTAAGAAGGAACTAGTTTCGGAGTCACGTAAATTTTGCTGCACGAACTGCGATCGGAGTCAAATCGAATAAAAATCAAGTCGAGTCGGCAACTTGACGTGGATATGTTTGAATTATTAAATTTAATATCGATAGCAAAAAAGTGAACGCAACTGAAACGTAGTTGTGCGCGCGCGCATTTGCGTACGATACGGATGTTCTTTCGACGATCAAAAGATTGACCTAACTGCATAATACGAGTAATTCTATCCGAGGTTAGAAGGTTGAGCAAACCAGACGAAAAGTACGGGCAATAATGTGTCGGGTCAACTTTCGCATCGATGAACTAAAGTCTGAGCTCATTTTACGCAAACGAGGGACGGCAAGAATACGAGAATTTTGCCGAAAGAATCAGGTCAGTCAGTTCGCCACGTATAGATCGAGTTCGTTCGGGTTCAGTTTCAAGTTTCGATTGTTTCGATTGGTCACTTTTCTATAACATATGATGCGTAACATTATATAAACATTATAGATGACGGAATTGGTACATGTGTATTGATGCATGTTACAATACCGCGTGGGATAACTTGCCGAGGTGACGAAGCGAGTCGAACATTGTCGGAACGGAAATTTTCTAGATACTCTCTCCAATTATCTGCGAGAACGTCACGTCCTACACCTCCGGTCACACCGCGATTCTATTTTCTGATAAGTGTGTGTTCATGCTGTGCTTGCAGGATCACAAGGGTACGCAGCTCTATCTGGGCATTAACCACTGCGGGATTCTGACGTTCCAAGGCTCACGGAAGACGCACCATTTCCGCTGGTCGGAAGTTCAGAAGATCAACTACGAGGGAAAGATGTTTATCGTGCATTTGACGATAAACGAGGTGAGCGATATACACATATTATTCGCTTGCATATCGTCGGTTATATACGCCATGATTTGTCCGGCGTCGCGATACGATGCACGCGACGTGTGTCCGTGTATCTAATCGGAATTTATCTTCTCGATAACTCGATAACTTTTTCAATGGAAGGATATTTTTTTGATTTAAGGATACTTTTTTCGCTCCTCGAGGAAACCACGAGTCTAATAATATGTATCTAACTTCCTCGTGATCACGCTGCTAACGTTATCTGGTATTATGCGGTTGCGATAGCCGCCGTGTGAAAACACGCTTTCTCGTTCGTGCACGTCTCGTGCTCGCGTGCGCTATATGTACATGCGTGTGACATCAGACACCACGTGATTACGGGTTAAGTAATCCTGTTACTTTTTCTTTCTATCTCGCCGGACCCGTGCAGGATGTAAGGACAAAGGTGAGTCTCGAAGACGTTTTTAACAAAACTTTCGTTCAAAATACCTAGTTCACATTGCGAAATTTGACATCGGGGGAATTTTTCGCCTGAACTGAAATCTCGATTTCAAATCTATCCCGAAAATCTCGTTGCCAAAAAATAAGAGTAATTTTTCTTTTTTTACGGGGCTTCGTCTTTCGTTTTCGAGAAAAATATCTTCGAATAGTTGTTGTTTTCGAAAACAGTTCTGTGTGAGAAAAATTGTATTCTACCTTTTCTTGCATGTAGTGTGTAATGTGAATCATTATCTTCTCAGTTGTGCCAGCAATTACGGATACGTTCCTATACAATTCATGCACCGGGAATCGTTGCTCGTAAAAGCACAAATAAAATGGCAGTCTTTACCACCTCGTAATAGTACGACACTCTTACAAGATGTCTGTCTCGTTTTCAACTACGACTTCCGGCCACCACATAAACGTGACGTGTCGTGCTTCCCAAGCATTAGTTTAGCGATACTGTGAGCGTTTCATTCAGTTTCACGGGCGCATAATAAGCGCGACGTGACACCGCATCGTTTTCCGGCAATTAAATAAATTCTCATCGTGAAAGCGTCAAGAGTGATTCACTGGCGACTGCTATAACTCACAGCGACAAATTTGTTATACTCTTATCCCGTTCGACTGCACATCATCTGCCCGCAGAGCAGAAATTATTTCCGTCCATGTTCGGTTTCTACTAAAAAGGCGAATTTGAACGACGGCAATGTCAAAGTGGTGGGATATTTCTGGATCGTATCGGAATTTGTTATTTTCAGAAAAAGCACACTGTCGGGTTCAAATGTCCCACGGGGTCGAATTGTCGTCACGTGTGGAGATGTGCCATTGAGCAGATGCTGTTTTTTACGTGAGTATATCTTGTACTTTTTTCGAATAGAAGATTTATTTTCTATTTTATACTAATATTATTCCTGACTCGCGCCTCGATCGATCACTACAAATTGAGATACGACTCGCCGGAATAATGTTGCTCGAAATATTATTCGTGATTCGACTCGCGTTCGTGCAACGTACGTGCGCCTTTTCCGAAATTCCCGAGGTGAGTAATTGGAGTGTATCTTGCAGTTATTTTGAATGAAAGAAAAGGATGGTTTCCTGTTTCGAATTAATCATATTCTGGACTCGCAATAATGTTATTCGAAAAATAATATTATTCGAGATGTTATTCGCGTTTTGACTCTGTGCGCCTTTTCCGAAATTTCCGGAATAATTGGAGTATACCTTGTATTTATTTGGAATAAAAGAAAAATCGATTTATTTTCTATTTAGAACTAACGTTATTCCCAACTCATGCTTCGTCTGTTTACGACAGACCGAGATGCGAATCGCCGGAATGATGTTACGCGAAATGTTATTCGCGTTTTGACTCACCTCTATGCGATACGTGCACCTTTTCTATCATTTCCGCGAGGTAAATAAGTGGAAAATATCTGCTAAGTATTTTGAATAAGAAGAAGGAAATTTATTCCCCAACTTATATTAATGTTATTCGCGCTTCGTTTGCTTGCGACAGTCAGAGATGCGACTCGCCGGAATAATGTTACTCGAAATGTTATTCACGTCTCAACTCGCGCCCGTGCGCCTTTTCCGAAATTTCCGGGTTAAGTAATTGGACGAGGGCCGTAAAGGTGGTTCCGACGCTGCCATAAAAGATGTATCTCCACCTCGCTGGGGCACATCGCTCGTTCTTACATGCCGGGTTTACCGCTGCAACATCCATCGCGCGGTCAAATTTAACGTTTCTCTCGCGAGCTTTGATGGGCTTTTCGAATGGGAGCGGCGGTCGATGTTTGGAAGTGGAGTCACTCGAATATACGATTAACACACCGCCGTTTTAATTGCACATGCACAGAGTCAGGCAATAACTATTTTACCACCTTGAATATTTTCGCAAAATAAAAATATTTTGTTAACGATTAAATAGAGATGAAAAATGTTTGTATTTATAGGAGGTTTTCAGAGTTTAACCATTTCATTCTAACAACACGGAAAAAAAATGTCATTAAATCAATAAAACATCCTCAATAGCACACGTAATTGGAGTAAATCTTTTTGATTCAATAGCAATATCATTGAAACTAATATTTTAATTATTGAAATAATACATAATATAATAATAAAAGAAATCGGGTAAGAAGGAACTAGTTTCGGAGTCACGTAAATTTATCACGTAAATTTATCACGATAATAGTTTCAATGACATTTATCGCTGAATCAAACAAATTTATTCCAATTATGCTACTGTTGGAAATTTTATTTATTTAATTTTTTTCGTGAATGCGGGCGTAATTTCTGTTAGATAAACTTTTCTCTTATTCTCGTTTCTCGAAGATATTCAAGGTGTTAATAGTTATTGCCTCACCCTGTGTGGTGCGTTTTAAGGATGGCTGTAAAATTTTCGGATCGATTTTTATTTTTTTCGGAACATCGAACTATCATGATGCGATTATCTTCCGGTCCGATTCGGGACTCGGATATCCTCGAGAATGACATTCGGGTGTCTTTGAATTACACGCGCAGTTTTTTGATGCGCTTCTATAGATGCAATATGATCCATACAGGAAATGTTATCTTCAAAAAGTGCCTCGTTACCGTTATTCGTCGCACATTGGTACAAGAGTAACTCGTTACTGTTACTTGTTTGAAAAATAGCTCGTTATCGTTACTCCACAAGTATCGAGTCGTTACAGTTTCCGTTACTCGTCTCACCTCGAAAAGCTCTTTGACGATCCGCTGTCGTGAAATTACATGTACGAAGCAACGATAAAAATAACGATTATATCCGCTACCGTTATAAAAAAAGTACGTTATCGTTAAAATTGTTAATATAAATTTGCGTTATCGTTACTGACGAGACGAGTAGATTAAAAAATAGCACTCCTATCAGGTTGCCAGAGTAACAATAAAAATAACGATTTTATTCATCGCTGTGTTGTCAAAAAAAAAGAAAATAAAAAAAAATATTGCGTTGTCGTTACCGTTACGAGAAAAACGAATAAAAAAAGATAAAGTTCACAAAGTATGAAAAAAGTCGCGTTACCGAAAACAAAAACTTGCAAGTAACGATGGTACGAATAACGCGTTACTTCCCCACCCTGGATACATATTTTATCACGACGGGGGGTCACTCGGGTGCTTCGGGTGCAGAAATGAATATTCGCTCGATCGTTAATGGGACGCGATGGCCAAAGTTACTTCGCGGCAGATACGTTTCCCCCTCACCTTGCCGTTGGATGGATCCTTCGCTCGTTAAATATCGAGCGCGGGTCGGCGGCGCGTATGCGCGCTCGCGTCGCAGCTCGTTAGCAGCAGCGTACCACTCGTAGACATCGAAACTTGGTACGAGTACGCCGGGGCCGAGTGTCCCGGACATCATTCTCTCGCGAATTCGTTTGCTACGTGCTCAAATTGACGTTTCTTAGTTCTCGGCGATGGCTGGAGCCGATCTCGTCCACGAAAGTTTTTTACGTGTTGTCGGATATCGTTTCAACATCGGCAGAAGGGAATCGTTCTCGACGGTCAGTGTTACCATCTGCCTGGTTTTCACCCGGAAAATCCGGCCTTCCGAACGGTTATCTGATTTTGACCAGTTCCGCTGAAATTCGAAAATTGGAAAATAAAAATGAAATTTTTTCCATATGACAAGCATATGACGAAATTTCTTGATGACGCTAAAAGAATGGCTACGTTCAGCAGAGAAAACAGTTTACAATAAGTGCTTGCTGATTATTATCTGAGACTGGTATTCTTTTAGATTCTTGATAGATCCTGCAGAATATACCAATCAAGAATGATAATTATTAAACATTCAATGCGGCCGCCTTCCGATATTCACTACCAGTACTACAAATCTCTATGGTATGCGCGACATAAACTATAAATCCGCAGCATTGACAGTAAATAGTGGAAAAAATATATCTTGCATATTAATACACATTTTATATACATATTATTTAAATAATTATCATTATGTAGTTATTATTATAATATATAAAATAATAAACAGGATACAGTCTTTAGTATCACTGTTATGAGTGTCATCTTGAGATCTTCTTTTATTTTTTTAGTCCAGTGACCGTCATTAAAAAAACCGGATCTCAAGCGATCAGTTTTCATTTAGTCCTTTCTTTATTTAATTCAATGTCCAGGTGACCGTCATTAGAAAAATGACAACATTGTCAGCGGTGTTTGAAGCTCGCGTTTCCTTCGCGAGCTAATTGCGGAAATGTCTCACGAACAGAGACGAATGTATCTTCACAATTCGATCAGCGCCATCGGCGGCGCTATCGGCGGATCCAATTCGACGGGTAATATCGCTGCCCCTGTAGTTTGCGACGCCAACGACGTCGGTTTCGAATGCGAGACCGGGGACTAACCCCGGTCGCGCTCGGCAAATTTATGCGAGCATAAATTTCCGCGTTTATTGGAACTCGGCGCGGAAACCGGGACTGCTTCTGGCCACTTGCGTTTTTATTTTACAGCCGACTGTTGTTTATACGGTTATTAAAAATTACGTCCGACAACCTCGACTCATATTTCAAATGCGTCTCGCGCATAATAATAACTGGCTTGATTTTTACGCACACACGAGCACCCGAATTGTTTGAAACTTGTGGGACACTTGTAGAAATTTCGGGGAAACTTGGAAGGAGCACCGGCGACGTTGTATGCGGACAAATTTCTCCGTTATTGTTGGTTACTGATTAAGTAGCTCGGGGTACTTTAATGGCTCAATTACACGGCGTGTATGCACGATGTATGCGCAGTTTGCCGAGAGCGTCGGACGCGCCGGTAGTGAGCGGCGGCTCTATCTTCTCATGGGGTACGAAGTTTAAGTATACCGGAAGGACGGAGAGGGAGGTCCTGGAGGAGACAGGGCCGCTCCGGAAGGAAGAGCCGCTGATACAACGCTGCCAGACGACGTGTCTGAGAAGGAAGGCTAGCAGTGTACCGGCCACTCCCAGCACGCCGAGCCAGGACCTCGTCGAGATACGTGAGTAGCTCTTCCTCCTCCTCTTATTCTTCCTCTTTCCTCGTTTTATCGTCATGTAATTTACTTATCGTGCCACATACTTTTTATTCGGTAGTCCGTTCTGAATAGAAGAAAGAAAGTAATAGTTTCCGATAGATAATAATTGAGAGAGTTCCGTAGGGGTAATGTTGTAGATTTTTACTTTTATCAGCGTCGATAGTTTTTATTCGTAAATCTATGCGAGATCACTTGCAAGACCACGACGATATCGAACGCAACGCTTGGTAATTAATACATTTGTATTGAAAATGGGAAGAGATGATCTCAGATCGAGCAGGAGCCGTAATATTTTATGTGGCAAGCACGTTTGTGTTGTTTGCGACATTAAGGTAGTTGGTCAGTGACAATATTGTTAAGAAGATAATAGTTAATACGAAAACATTCGACAAATCTAAATGTTTATAAACATGATTTATGATATACAGCTTAGACACTACAGCAGAGAATATCAATTAGACTTATATGTTTGAAAAACTTACAAAAAGTAATCGTTTTTCGCTTTGACGTATAATATTTTTAGCTAGGACTGCCCGTATATATTTGTAAATATTTCATACTTATCGATAGACGCACACGAATGCACGCTACTAGAGGAATGAACATGACGTTGGATTTTTCCATATTTTTCTGTATTTCTCGCATTTTTACGTATAGATCTGTAAGATTATTTGAACATTTTATCTTTAAAAAAATATCTAACCAAGAGACATAAAGAGACATATAACGCGTACAATATTGCTAGATATTTAAAGGTTATTATAATATATCAACCGTTATCAAGAATTGTGTACTTTACATATCAATTTCTGGATAACTAAATAGATCAATGATTTTGTTACTTTTCTATAATATTTCTACAAGTCTCTCTTATCATCTTTTCTTGTTTTCTTGTTTTTTCATTAAAATCGTAAGACCAGTTTGGTCGCTAGAACTAAAAACGCGATATCGGAAGTCTGTGATATAATATAAATAATGCCAGCTTTTATTTTTAAATTTTATTTATAACTTTTATCCTTTTGACTTTTATCTCTTTGACAATTATCTCAGCTTCGATATGATCATTTTTTTTTTTAGTTTTACATAATGCGTAGCTCGTGTTTCGTGATTAGTCTGCTGTTTCAAAAGATTTTTATATAAGAAAATTAATTTACGGACCAACTATCTTAATACAAATGCATGCATTCAGTATTACAACCGTTCATTAAGCACTTAGTCAGCTCTTACATCTAACTGGTATATTCTCTTAGAACTAAAATTATACACCAATTAGACGCAGGAGCTTACTAAGCGCTCAATGAGCGGTCGTAGCACTGGATGCACTCAATTATTATATAGCAAGTATCGGATAATCGACGGTCGCGAACAAAAGGGCCGTTCTACGTTTGTACACCAGCGTCGTACATACTTTAATATCCATTTTTATTATTATCAAAGTATAATTTTTATTTAGCGCTCTAAGTCAGATCTCCTCGAGCGCAGATTGCTGTAAGTATAAATATCCAAGGTTTCTTGCAACTTTCCTTTCAACTTTCCACATGTTGCACGCGAGGTTGAAAATCGCACCGGTAACTCGAATTATAACGTTAAAGCATCTATGACGTCTGGTGTACTTGGATTGTTTCATTACGCTGTAATTACGAATTACGTCCCCTGTGTTGTTACACGTCCGGTGTACATGGCGGCACACGTGTTACGAAGTTACCGCTCGGCGCGACCTGCTGGACTAATGAGTCTCGCAGTTGACTCTGACCCGCACGTCCGATGCGTCGCTCGTTTTGAAACGGCTCCTCCGGAGAGATAAACAAACCGGAAGAGAAGCAGAGGGAAACCGGGAGAGACGAAAATCGTTTCTCCGTTCGACCGAGAGATCGGCGAAAGAAACAAATAAAGAAAGAGGAGAAAAAAGAAAAGAACCGAAAGAGCCTCGAGGAGGAGAAGATGTATTGTTGATCGCACGGTGAACGTTGTTTTACCGTACAAGGACGGCGCAAGCGAACGGTTCGCACAGGGATCGGGCCTGGGGGTCGCACGGAGTCTCAAGGTATGAATCGCATGATCCTCGCGTTTCAGGATATTCCAGCCTGCCGCGTAGCTGTCACAGCGCGGGCCTGGACGGCGCCGGGATGCTGGAGGGCGGCTCGGGTGTTCCCCTCAGCTCCCCCTACTGTCCAGACAATACCTTGCCCCTCCTGGAGACCGTATCCGAGGACCAAGAGATTCACGCCAGGAGAAACAATGGTTAGTTGACGCCCGTGTTGCCGCCTCTTCTCTCTCTCTCTCTCTCTCTCTCTGTCTATTTATCTATCTCTCTTCCTATATATCTTTCTCTATATCCCTCTTTCCCCTCTATCTCTTTTCTTTTCTCTTTTTTTTGCCCCACAACAAATTCGTTCGCCCCCCCCCCCCCCCC